GGACCACTGCTGCAGCAGCCTGGACGTCTCCAACGACGCATCCTTGGCGATGGTTGTGCACACGCGCGATGCCCACATAGCTATCACACCGTCCCCGTATGCCTCTCAGTCTCCGTGTGAGTGGTCAACTTCTGACGCGGCGGGCAGATACGAGGGCAACGCGGGCGGCCTGCCTAGGAGCGTCAACCTGCTGTACATGGGGATCCGCTCTGCACAGCCCGAGGCGTGGGGAAGCCCACGGGTACCGACTCCGCTACTCCCCGGACCTCTCCCGGGGGGCGTCCTGACGAGGATTTCGAGGCTAATCCAGCGGTGGCGACGAGGGCCTCCCAGGAGGCCGAAAAATGGAGGAAGACGGGCGACGGGTAGCGGTATTGGTACATTTTTCCTCCTACCCAGATCCCCCCGACGTGGTGTTTTTTCAGCACGTCGACGCCCAGAGGTCTGGACCCCTTCCCCGGGACCGGCTTTTCGTCCGGAGCCGTTTCTTGACGGTCCCGAGGCCCGGCAAGGGCTCCCGGAGGCCGAAGGTAACGGAAAGCTTCCCGTTGTGTGTTCTTGTTTCGCTGCTCGAGGGGGTCTGGGTTTTCTAGGGCGACGAGATCTATGCGTATCCACTGCTCCTGGCCAGGCCCATCCTGGGCCCAGGAGCGGTGTATATGCCTCCCTGGCCAAGCCAGGAGGGCGTATACACAGCTCTTGGGCCCAGGATTGGCCTGGCCGGGAGCAGTGGATATGTATAAATATCGTCGCCCTATTTTCCTCCTCCGAAGGAGTGGCTGCGGGTCGACGGCCTGGAGGGCCCGGGCAGGCACGACCGGGTCATCTTCCACGACCTGCCACGGCCGATCGTGGTGCGGCGCGTGCGCCTGGAGGTGGGGCTTTAAGTCGGGCATGTCCCTCGACAGGAAGAATGTTCAAAAACAGTCAAAAATAGTTAGGGGACGATTTTTCGACTACACCTGAGGCGATGCTTAAGAAGACTTGATTTTTCGGCCAGAGTCTCGATTATTCTTAATGTTTCGATGTGAATCCTAAGATTTGGATAGACATTTTGGGTTTTTATTCCAGTTCTGAGACTATGAATTTCTTAACCCATGATTTCTTAAGCATTTCGCAGGGTGTATGTTTGACGATGTTTGAATATCATTTGACCATTTTTCATTTCTCTTCCGAAATCCGCCTGTAGTCTGTAGGAGGACATGCCCGACCGAAAGGTGGGGCTCTTCAGCGGGTTTCCCGCACTCCGGTTCGAGCTTTACGGTTGCGCGGAGCACGGCGTAAGGGCGCGCTTCGAGCCGGCCAGGATCAACATGACCTGCTCTGGCCAGGGTGTCGAGAGCACTCTCGGCGGCGCTTCTCTCTCGCACTGCCAGGCTGCGTGCACCCACGAGTGCTATGCTGTGGTGTGGGCGGGCAGCGCGAGCCAGCGCTGCCTCATCTTTTCGTCTTCGGAGTGCTCGAGCATGGGTGTTGACGGGGGCTCGGACGCCTATGTACGGCGAGGTGCTCCTCCGAGCAGTTGTGCAAATCCGTACCCTCTGGTCTTCACGAGGAACAACAACTTCGCAGTGGTCAGCGCCTCTTCGACCCAGGCGGCGGACCGGCGATAAAAGTGTCTGCCAGCCTGGACTCCAGATCGAAGATATGGACTAGCGAAGCTAGGCGCTAGCGAAGCTGCGATGCGATACGCTGCCTCGGCCTGAACCGCAGGCTGACTAAGCCCTGCTCGGCTGAGTTACAGAAAGCTCGTTCCAGCTATCGATGTGTGACGTTAGGTGATCGGCGGCGAGCGATGGGGAGAAGTGAGAAGGGGCGGGCCTTCTCAGAAGGCTCGGAAGTCCCCCGGCCTTCTAAGAAGTTGTCTCAGCTTCCCCCGAAGGCACAGACAACTTCGTTGAAGGCGCGAGGGCTCCAGAGAAGTCCCGCTGCCCTCTGAGAAGGCCTTCTCCTTCACATTCCCCTCCCTCCCTCGCTCGCCGCCATGATGATGCAGGACTCTGGCGCCCAGGCTGAAGGACGGTATGTTCCGCGCGCTACTCCCCTCTCGTCCGCGCGCCTCCCTCCACCCCGCCTTCCACCGTGCCCAAGTCGGCCACGCACACCCCACGTCTGCCCTAGATTGCGACCAGGGTTCTCGTCCCTGCGGGCAAACAAGTACGTAACGTGCGATGCATGAGATAAAACACAGTACAACGAAATACGTAAGACATGCAGAGATAACGTTAGGTGCGTTTGCCTGAGCCAGGCCTGAGCTGAGCTGAGCTGGGCGGCGCTGCGCCGCGCTCAGCTCAGGTGGTGATGGACCCCTTGAGGGGAAGCGGACTCATCACGTTATCGGAGCAGGGGCTGAAGCTGGTGGGTATTTGCGGTTTGCGGTGGGGGGAAGAGAGAGAGAGAGAGACAACAACAAAAAATGCCAGCGCCCGATCTGCCTGGACCGCTAGAGGATCTTGCGGCCCACGATCGTGCCGAAAACAAGACCCGATCAGTCTTCTGGATGGTACACCATCTTGCACCATACAGTGCCGTTTCTAATGCATGCTCCGCGTGCGGATCATGATGTATTACAAATGCAGGGATTCAGTATTAAAAACAACGATGAGTTCATGCACGAATTCATTCATACACTAATCATGTATTAGAAGTCATACATATATATATATATATATATATATATATATATACATATACATATAACGGCGCACCGGGTCCGGGGGCCCGGGGCCGGGACCCCGACCACAAATGTGGGCCCCGGGGGGCCCGGAGGCTCGTCGGACCACCGGACGCCGTCCAAGATCGTTCGCAGGCGGCTTCGGAACGCGCTCCGATGGCTCCAGATGCCTTCCAAGACGCTTGTCATGACACCAAGAAGGTCCCAGAAGCCTCCAAGACGCTCCGAGAGGCAGCCCAAGAGAGGCCCAAGAAGCAAAAAATCGTGCCATTCCTATGGGAAAACGTATATTTTTCGCATGTTCGCCTCTTGGGCTTTCACCGCGTCCAAGACGGCCCAAGAGGCGCCCAAGACGGTCTACGAGGCCTCCGGGAGCGCTCCAAGGCTGCGCACGAGTGGCCCAGGACGGCCCCAAGACGGCCGAAGAGAGCCCCAAGACGAGTTCGAGAGGGGTCCCAGACGGAGAAAGCCAACCTCGAATTCCGAGCTTCCGGCCCAAGAGGCTCCAGGAGGCGCCAAAATGCCGCCAAGAGGCGCCAAAAGGCTCCCAAAAGCACCCCAAGACGTTCCGAGAGGCACCCCAAGAGAGGTCCAAGAAACAAAAATCGTGCCATTCCTATGGGAAAACGTATATTTTTCGCATGTTCGCATCTTGGGCTTTCACCGCGTCCAAGACGGCCCAAGAGGCCTCCAAGACGGCCTAGGAGGCCTCCGGGAGCGCTCCAAGGCTGCGCACGAGTGGCTCAGGACGGCCCCAAGACGGCCCAAGAGAACCCCAAGACGACTTCGAGAGGGGTCCCAGAAGGAGAAAGCCAACCTCGAATTCCGAGCTTCCGGCCCAACATATCCCAGGAGGCGCCAAAACGCCGCCCAGAGGCGCCAAAAGGCTTTCAAAATCAGCCCAAGACGTTCCGAGAGGCACCCCAAGAGAGGTCCAAGAAACAAAAATCGTGTCATTCCTATGGGAAAACGTATATGTTTCGCATGTTCGCATCTTGGGCTTTCACCGCGTCCAAGACGGCCCAAGAGGCCTCCAAGACCGCCCCAAGACGGCCCAAGAAGCTTCCAAGAGGGCCCCAGGACAGCCCAAGAGGGCCCCAAGACGGCCCAAGAGGCGCCCAAGATGGCCCAAGAGGGCCCCAAGACGGGCCCAAGAGGGGGCCCAGAGGGGGACCACGAACCGCAAGCTCGAGCCTTCCGCCCCAAGAGGCCGCCAGGAGGCCCCAAGGAGGCCCCTCAAGAGGCCCCAGGAGACCCCCAAGAGGCCCAAAGGAGGCCCCGAGAAGCCCCAAATCGGCCCCCAAAATGCTTCGAACCTGCTTCCAGGAGGCCCCCGACAGGTTCAGAGGCTCCCGAGAAGCTACGTCAAACTCCCAGCGAGCGGCCGGACGAGGCCCCCCACAAAATCACAAGAGGGTTCCAGTATTTGTATCCTTCAGCGCTCTCTGGCCTTCTTCCCCCTGCCCCCTTCCCTGCGACTTTCGTTGACTCAAGCTCGCCTCCTAGCTAGAACCTAAGCGCGCGCGAAGCGCGCGCGTGGTTCTAGTATATATATATATATATATATATATGTTTAACCCCCATGTATTAAACACTGCCCTGTATCCCAAACCTCCTACAACACGGTTCCCATCATGCTGTTTGCTACACGCACTCTCTGGCGGCTGCGGCCTCGCGCGCAGCGGCGAGGCGGGGCAGGCGTAGGAGAGCAGAGGGAGCGGGCGCCCGCGTCCAGGCCCTCATCGGAAGCCTGGAAATTGGCACCAACACCAGCACAGGGGGTTGCCTCCACGTGGGAAAGATGATCCTAGATTTCGGTGTTGGTGGTAATATTTCGGTCACCTTGGAAGCCAGAATATTACCACCATCACCGAGATCGGGATCTTCTTCCCTCGGTGGAGGCACACCGCCGATCTTGGTGTTGGTGTCAACCTCTAGGCCTGCGACCTCAGGCGGGATCGCTCTGGATCGCTGCGTGTGCCACCCTGGGGGGGGGGGGCAGCGCATCGCCTTAAGTCGGGCGTGTCCCCCTACAGGGGGATTTTCGACGACAAAATAAGAAATACCCCAAAAGTAGTCAAACAATTATCCAAAAATACTATGGGGACTATTTTTTGAGTATGTTTTGACCATTTGGGGGTATTTTGGGGGTATGTTTTTGGTTTTTCGCCCAAAATCCCCCTGTAGGGGGACACGCCCGACTTAAGCATAGCCATCCTGGTGGGGATGGCGGGGAGGAAGGAAACACTGCTGCCCGCCGCGGGAGCGCCCCACGCGGTGGTCGCAGTGGGGCACCGGTGGGCGGCAGCACATGACCAACCGGGCGCGGTTGGCGGGGAGGAGGACCACTGGCTGCTCTGCGCGGGCGTCCCGTGCACACACGCACACGCGCACCCGCACACGCACATTCGCGCACGCGAGCGCGCACACGCGCACGCTCAAGCATTCGCTCCCGCTCACGCGGGCGCACACGCATTCGCACAAGCACGTACTTGTTTGTCCACGGCGCTGGCGGTCGCAGAGCGCGCTCGAAACCGAGCGGCCTGCGAGCAGAGTGAGTGCCCATCAAGCAACTGGAAATGAAGAGGCAACCGCATAAAAGGAACAGAAGAGAGAGAGAGAGAGAGGAACGCGTTCAGGGAACGGCCTCTACAAGCATTGGGCTGGCGACCAAGTGCCCACAGGCGAGGGCAGTGGGCCAGGGGTGCGCTGAAACTGGTGCCCAGGAGCCGCAAAACGGAGCCCAGGGCGCTTGCACTACACCCCCAAAGGGGACGGGCGACATCCAGGAAACTGCGGGCGCTGCGACGCCAGAGCCAAAAGGCATACAGTCAACCCGCGTAGTAAGGATGGGCAACCTTCCAAGTGTACCCTTACAGCTTTGTCCCCCTCGGCCCATCCTTAGCGACTTTCGCTGGCCAACCTCGTTCGAAAAAACGTGAACATGGCCCTCGAAGGCCCTTGCATCCTTACTGGCATCCTTATGATTCGCGACTGCACTTGGGCCAGGCAGCGGGGGCAGCGAGGGCGACGACTGCAGCGGTTGCGGCCGGACCCAGAAAAGCAGCTGGGGACACCTTCGGTGGGCAAAACGCCGGGCTGCGATGGGCCGCAAGCAGCACGGGCCCAGGGAGACTGACGCACGGGCCCGGAAGTCGCGCCAGCGGGGCAGCGGCCGCCCTGGCGGCGGGGAGGGGGGAAGCGGGAGGAGGAGGAGGAGGAGGAGGAGGAGGAGGAGGAGGAGGAGGAGGAGGAGGAGGAGGAGGAGGAGGAGAGAACGAGACGAAAGAGGAGCGCAGTGGGGCGGGGCTGGCACACGCACGGGCATCGGCGCCACCCCAACGTACTAATACTCTGTGTGCGCCGCCCCTCCAGGGGCGACGCGCGCACCGAGAAATCTTGTAGTAGTGTGAGCGTCGTGGCGGGCATTTTCTGGACACACCGCTCGGGAAATGATACACATATATGTATACATGTGTGTGTATATATATATATATATATATATATGGGTGTATTGGTATGTTCGGGTCGGACGCGCGCCTCCAAGGAGGGCATATAGTACTAGCAGGTCTCCTGCGCGTCCCAGCGCACACCGCACACGCACGACACGCGTCACACGCCCCGAGGGCCCCGGCACCCCGCAAGGACCCGGAGTACTTCGCAGCGGCGAACGCCTCCGCCGAGGCGCAGGCCGCCTGGCTCGCGCAGCTCGGCGACGCGGCCCCCTTTGTGGAGGTGAGCTTCTTCCAGCCGGTGACGGTGCGGCGCGTCGCTCTGGGCGGGGGCCCCAGCGAGACTGGTTGTTGGACTCGGTGAACTTGCAACGCCCGCTGCTCCGAGGAGGAGAAGGTATCCCATACCGCTACCCTGCGCCCGTTCTCACATTTTTGCGGCCTCCTGGGCGGCCCTCGTCGCCCCCGCTGGATGCGCCTCGAATTCTGGTCAGAACGCACCAGGGGAGAGGTCCAGGAGGCAGCGGTATCTGTACCTTCTGGTTTCCCCACTAGTGAGATTGTGTTTTTTGTTCGGTGAACCTGTAGCGCCCGTTACGAGGGGTCGCCCCCCCTCTCCCCGTCCCGCCCCCCTTCCATGTAACGGTGCCGAGCCTGTTTTTTTTGGGGGTGCGGGTAACCCCCGCAGGCACGGCGCGGTGCTCACATGCATGCTGTGGTGCTGGCAGGCAGAATCTGGTGATCACAAGCATGCAGTCTCGCTCGCAGATTCGACCCCCTCCCCTCCTGTAGGGGGGGGAAAGAATTGATTACTTTGCGACGTACCCAGCCCAGCACCAAATGACAAGAGGAGCTGGCCCAGACTAGTTTAGCCGATGACACCACAGGATCCGTCTTTGGTTGCGCAAGCTTTATGGGAAGCGCACGTGCTGCGCGATCCACAAGACAGCAAGAAAGGACGAGGACGGATGCCCCAGGCTCGAAGAGGAAATGATGGTGGGCACGAGGAGCAGGACAAGGGGACGGAAGAGGGGCCGAACAGCCGACGCGACGGCAGCAACGCGACGCCGAGGTAAGCAGAGGACGACAGCAGAGGAGCAGGACGAGGCAAGAGGGTGGCGGTCGTTCTCCGGCGGCACGCTGGACGAGCAGGGCCGCCCGCGCCACTCCGCCCTGGCGCTCCCAAGAAGGATCCGCCGCTCCTGCCTCGGGCGGCGAGCGAGGCCGGCCTCGCCCGCTCAGCTTCTCCGCTGCGTTTTCCTGCACTGCTTGGCATCGCTCGGGCGTGTGCAGGTTTCCTTCGGCGAGGGCCATCGAGGAGCAGCCTTGCTCATTTGGCGAAAAAAAAAACACGCACGACACCGACAAAAACACAGTGAATGGACGTCCGAGCGATGGCGAGGCACTGCGCAGCGCGGGAGCTAGACGCCCGCAGGCGCGCCGCCGGGTCCCCGGGACCCGCGGAGCGTGCCTCCGCTGGGCCCCCCAGGCAGCCTTCGAGAGCGTCCGCAGTCTCGGAGTTCGCAGCCGCCCAGGGATGGCGAGGTCGGGATTGACTTTGCGTGGCACGTCACTCCGCTGGACCCCCCCAAACAGCCTTCGGAAGTGGCGGCAGTCTCGCAGATCGCACACCCCCACAGACGGCAAGGTCTACTTTGAGCCTGCGTAGCGCATCACTCCGCTGGACCCAAAATAACCCTCGAACACGGCGACGGTTTCACAGTTCGCAGCCCCCCAGGGATGGCGTCATCTTATTTGAGTTTGCGTAGCACGTCACTCCGCAGGGCGCCCTGAGCAGCCTTCGAACGCGGTGGCGGTTCCAGAGTTCGCAGCCCCTCAGGGATGGCGAGGTCTTATCCCCCGTTTTCGGAATACGATGACAGTTTCGCAAGTCCTCTCCCGGGGCGGCGAGGCTCAATATAGGTCCGCGCGGGGCGCCACCCTGGTGGACACCCCAGCAACCTTCAAGGAGGCGACAGCGTCGCAGATCGCAGCCCCCCCAGGGATGCTGAGGCTTGATCTAGGTCCGCGTGGGACGTCCCTCCGCTGGACCCCCCAGCCGCCGTCGAAGGTGGCGACGGATTCGCATATCGCATCTCTGCAGAGACGGCGAGGTCTAGGCTGAGCCGGCGTAGCGTGTCACTCCGCTGGACCCCCCAGCAGCCTTCGAAAGTGGCGACAGCGTCGCAGTTCGCAGCCCCGCCGGGGATGGCGAGGTCTTCTGAGTCTGCGTAGCGCGTTGCTCCGCTGGGCCCCCCATCAGCCCTCGAAAGCGGCGACAGTTTCACAACACGCAGCCCCCCAGGGATGGTGAGGTCGAGCTCAGTATGCGTAGCGCGTCATTCCGCTGGACCCCCCAGCAGCCCTCGAAAATTGCGATAATCTTGCAGATCGCAGCCCCCCAGGGACGACGAGATCTAATCTGAGTTTGCGTAGCGCGTCACCCCGCCGGACCCCCCAGCAGCCGCCGACAGCTTCACACTACGCAGCCCCCCCCCCAGGACGGCGAGGTCTAAGCTGAGTCTGCGAAGCGCGTCGCTCCGCTGGAACCCACAGTTCGCAGCACCCCTAGGGACGGCGAGGTTTAATCTGAGTCTGCGCACCGCGTCGGTCCGCGGGCCCCCCCCAGCAGCCCTCATGGAAACAGTTCACAGTTCGCAGCCCGCACAGGGATGGCGAGGTCGAGTCTGAGTATACGCAGCGCGCCACTCCGCTGGCTCCCCCAGCAGCCCTCAAAAGTGGCGACGGTTTCACAGTTCGCAGCCCCCGCAAAGGATGGCGAGATCTGATCTGAGTCTGCGTAGCGCGTCACTTTGCTGGCCCTCGAAAGTGGCGAGAGTCTCCCAGATCGCAGCATCCCAGGGACGGCTCCGTTGGCCCGATGCTTGCACGTCGCTGTTGTGCATCCTGGTGCAGCCATTGCGATCCGATTCCGACTCTGCGCCGATGCAGCACGATCCGAGCGCAGCCCGGTTCGATCCGATCTCCCGATTCGATGTTGGCTGATCTTGACAGATCGCAGGGGTCGGGGGATCACGCGATCGCCGATCACGTGATCGGCGCGGTAGCCACCAGGGCTGCGATGGGATCACGTTATCGAGGGCATGATCGGCCGAATGATCAGCCAGACGCTACGGCTGGGACTTGAGAAAAAAAGTGCTAAGGCGGGGACCCCCGACAGACGTCCCTCGTCGGCTGCCTCAGCTGCGGCCCGCAGGCTCAGCGGAGGAAGTGGTACCCATATTTCCTTTGCCTCGGGCTCGCCTCTCTGGCCCTCCTGGGAGACCCTCGTCGCCACCGTTGGATTCGCTCCCCGGGAGTGGTTGGAAGACCAGCAGTGCCGTTACCTCTTGCCCCTCCCCCCCCCCTCCCCCCGAGCAGGCGGCGAGGCTGCTCGAGCCCCTGACGCTGACCCGCTTCGACGACTTCCACGGCACCGCGGAGGGGCCCGATGCACACGCCACGTCGCTTGGTCGGCCTCGGCGCCGCCGCCCATTTCTGGCGAAGGGGCTCGGTGGCGAAGGGACGCTGCGGCGTCTGTGCACCAAGCGCCCTGGCCGACCAGGCGGCGCGGCGTGTCCTTTGGGGCCCCCGCAGGCAGCGCGGAGCTGCAGGTGCACCTGCGGAACCTCAACTCGGGCCTGAGCGCCTCTGGCCGGCTGAGGCTCTACGTGCCCCCCATGCTGCCCGCCGTGCGCGCCCCTGTGCCCTTCGAGGTGGACGAGGCCGCGGAGTCGCCGGGCGGCGCCACGTCCGTAGATCTGGGGGCGGGCATGGCCATCTCCCAGGGCTCTGCCGGAAGCGAGCTCACCGCGGTGTCCTTGCCAGACGGGCTCCTGTCATGGAACGGCAGCGCACCCTCGGAGGCCCTGGCGTGCACCGGCTGTTCCGTCAGCCGGATGCGCGAGCTCTTGTCGACCTTGCGCTTCTTTCCGGCCCCTGGCACCAACGGAGTAAAGCGGGTGGAAGTTGTCATCAGCAGCAACGAGAGCGCCTCGATCCAGAGCGAGGTGCTGACCGTCTGGGTGCGCCCGCTGAACACCGCTCCCATCCTGCGGCCTTGCGACTCCCCAGTTCCCTCAGATCCAGCGGCCCCATGGTTCGCCGTAGCAGAAGACGCCTGGGAATCAGCCGTGTGCGTGGCGCTGGAGGACGACGCCGACGAGACGCCGGGCAACTTCGTGGACATGCGGCTGTGGGTGTCCAGGGGCAGCCTCGGCTGCGGTGGCTTCGGCGCTGCTCGCGGCCTGCTGGTCACCCAGTGCCCGGCGGGCGCGAGGGGCCCGTGCGAGCTGCGGTCGAAGCCGTCGCAGCGCCTCTCGCTGGCGCAGGCGCAGGGCTGCTTGAGGAGCCTGGTCTACACGCCGCCGTCCAATTTCCACGGGATTGCCGACCTGCACCTGAGCGTCTCGGACAACGGCTTCACGGGCGAGGGGGCAGCAGCAGAAGGCACGCCCCGCGGTTTCCGGGGTGAGCCCATGGTGGCGTCGATCAGGGTCGCGATCCAGGTTGCCCCCGCCGCTGACGCGCCGTGGCTCGCGTGGTCCATTCCGCCCCCGACAGTCATTTACAGCGACGGGAGTTTTCTGCTCAGTGGCCTGGACCTGAGGGACCCTGACGAGACAGGTCCTCGCAGCGGCGCCAACCTCACGGTCGCCGTGGAAGCCCTGGTGGGCGAGATTATCTCCAGCGCAGATCTGGTGGAGCACCGTTCGCCAGCGCCCCCCTTCCCAGTGCGCCATGTGCGGCTGCGGGGAGCTCCCTGGGAGCTGGAGCAGGCCCTGCGTAACGTCACCTACCGGCCCGCCGCGGGGTTCGTCGGGGAGGACACGGTGGTGGTCACCGCCCGGGGCGCAGGCGCCGCGGGCAGGGCCGCCTTGACCTCGGAGCTGAGGTTCCACCTGCAGGTCGAGCAAGCGCTTGTCGCGCCCACGATCTCCGTGCTGGCTCCCAAGGTCGCCGGACGGGAGGACGAGGCCGTCTGGCTGGGGGTTGCGGCGGGCGTGTCCCTCGAGCTGCCCGAGGCCGCGCTGCTGCGCTTCCGGCTCCAGGCGATCAGAGGAGGGCTGGTCGAGGCGGCTTCTCAGGGCCTCTCGTCGTCACGTCTGGATCCGCCTCCAAGAACTGCGACCCTCCCCGGCGCTTCTCTCGTTGTCTTTTTGAGGCTCTCAGAGGCTTCTCGTCGCCACGGCTGGATCGGAGAACGGAACTGGATTCGGACGGGGCCAGGACGAGGATAACTCTGTTCCAGAGCGTTCTGGAGCGCTCTCAGAGCGTGCCGGAACGCTCTGAGAAGGCTGCGGCACCCGAGGCATCCTCCAGACCCGCCGGATCTCAGAGATTCTCGATTTACAGTCAGCCCGCATAGTAAGGATGGGCAACCTTCCCAGGGGCACCGTTGCATCCTTGCCCATTCGGCCCATCCTCAGCGACTTTCGCTGGCCAGCCTCGTTCGAAGAACGTCAACGTCAGCCTCCAGGGCCCTTGCAACCTTGCCGCGCATCCTCATGATACGGGTTGACTGTATTCAGGAGGGGAAGAAACACACAGACACAATTCATCGTCGAGTGCCAGGAAAAGATGGGAAAATACGGGAGTTGGGCGGGACGACAAAAATCCAGAAAATATGGGAAAATATGGGGAATCATTTTTATCTGCGTGTATTTATTTGTGTGTCCCAGGGCCCCTTCATGTATCCTCACCCGAATGTGCCCTCGTCCTGGCTCCGTCTGAAGGATGCACCCCGGGAGGGGTCCACAGGGGCCCGATTCTGGGCGGACGTGGGCCACGGCGGCAGAGCCGCCGCGGTGGACGGCACGTAAGAGGGCGCCCTCGCCGGAGTGACCTTCGGTGCGGGCTCGTCGGGGCCCCCCGGTCGCTGAGCGCGGTGCGGCAGCTCGAAGGCGGAAGCACGGCAGAAAACATTCATTGTGGGCGCCTCGCGCGGATTTCTCGCATCGGCGCCTGTGGGCCCCTCCTGGCGGCGCCTCCGGCGCCGCCCCTGGGGGTCCCAGGCGCAGACCCAAGACGTCCGCGCGGAGCGCCAACAGTCAAAAAGTTTTCTGCCGTGCTTTCTTCTTCTGCTGGCGGTCGACTGCGCGCTTGGCTTTGGCCGCCTTGTGCCCCGTCCGTCCGCGCACCAGGAGTCACTCTTGCCTACAGTCGGGGGTGGACAGAACCCCCAACAGTGACACGTCGATGAGTGAATGGTCCGTTTTCGGTTCTCGAGAGGGCGCCGCGGCCGTTCTTTTCCAGGCTTGCGCCCGCCAGGTTTGGGCCTCAGGTCGTTTTCACGAAACCGCGTTTTACTCAAGGGAGGTCTGTCCATCCCCGATACAGCCGTCCGCGCGCCAAGCGTCACTCTTGCCCACAGGGTCGCCCCCGGTGTGCAGCCGACGCAGCCTCCGCTGGCCCTCCTCCGGAGGCGAGCGACGGGGCGCTGCGGCCCCTCTTCGGCAGGGGCCCCGGCGCCCCCCCGGGGGGCGCGGCGGGCGCGGTGCGCTACCTGCGGGCCTCGGCCGCCCTGGTGGAGGGCGTCGCGACGGCGGCGGCCGCCACGGAGGCCCTGGCCGGCACGCGGTTCCTGCACCGGGCCCGGGACCTCTTCGGGGGGCAGCTCGGCCGCCCCGATGCGCCGCCGCGTGGACGCGCAGCACGTGTGCCACACACACACACACACACACACACACACACACACGCACACACACACACGCGCACGCACGCACGCACGCACGCACGCACGCACGCGCGCACGCACGCACGCACGCACGCACGCACGCACGCACGCACGCACGCACGCACGCACGCACGCACGCACGCACGCACGCACACACGCACACACACAAACACACAAACACACAAACACACAAACACACAAACACACAAACACACACTCACACAAACACACACATTCACACACTCACACTCTCACACACTCAC